CTTAATTAGTACTTGATAGAGTCAGGACAAGAAACCCTGATTCTCCCACTGCCTCCCAACAGGCCCAGAGTGGAAGGGCCCCCTGTGGGTCAGCCACCCTTATGTCCTCAGTCCCTGCTGGAGCTCGCTCTAAAGGTGGCAGAGCCAGAAAGGTAGGATTCAGAATTTGGTAGCAGCATTTTAATTTGATGTAAATGACCCAACTGAATCAGCACTAAATTAGGACAGTACGTGTCTAGAGAATGAAGTATTTGTTATCCCAGCCTTATTCACGTTGTTCTCCACACATGGATTTTGAGGTAGAGGAAGATCATCTGGATCACTTACTCAATTTCTTCCCTACTTTAGTGCTATGGCTTCTATGAAATACTCAGAAACAAGGAGTCCCTCCTACAATTCAAATCATAACAGCAGTAGATGCTGTTTATTGTGTTTATTCTCTACTTTCATATACATTAAGTAATATGTTACTTAAACATTTTTACAGATTTGTTATTTGTCATAAAAGAGATAGGTACAAAAGCATTTGCCCAATCATTCTCTAGGTACTACTTAAAGACACAGATCATTATAAATACAGCTTGAGCTTCTAATATACACTTCTTCAATTGCGTTTTCCTCTTTACTCCTATCATTTCCATGTTTGTTTAAAGAAAGATTGCTAGTCATGTATTTGTCTGTAAGCAATATGTTGTATAGTTTTAAGTTTTATCAAAATAGTATTTTCTTGTGAAAAAATCTCTGCCAGTTGTTTTTTTCATACTTTATATTTGTAGGAGTCATCCATATTAGTGAGTGTGCCTCTAATAACTTTTTCATTTTTACTTTTGCTGCTATGTAAAAAATTCGCTAAGTGAATGTACCACTGTTTATCCATTTTCCTATTACTGGAACAGTGTTGCTATGAGCATTCTTATACATGTTTCCTTGTACACAAATTCTCCAGGGTACGTATAACCAGGAGTGGAATTACTGTATAGTAGGATAAGTACATCTTCAGATTCAGTACTGCCAAGTTGTTTCCTGTAGTGGCTGATTGAGTTTGCACTCCCTCATGTAGTGTCCTGAGTTCTTACTCTCCGCATCCCTAAACAGTACTTGGTGTCATCAGCCTTTCATATTTTTGCCATTCTATTTATTGGATGTTAAAAATTAGTCTTAGGCTTTTAATATGTATGTTTTTTCTAATTTGGTGTAAGTCCACCAGTGTCCGAGTAGGAGGTGGAGCCTAAGAGAAGCAGTGCATCTTGTTCAAGGTCATGCACCCAGTAGATGGCTCTGCCTGGATGGGATGAGAGCCCTGCCAGCACCGGAGCCAGGGCCTGTCCTCTGCACCTCCTGCCAGAGATCAGGGCACTGGCGGTCACAGAGGCCACTTGGAAATCTGAGGACTAAGTGTGGAGTTCTGTGCTTACGTCCTGCTTTTCCTTTCATTTCCTCACCTGTTACTTAAGAAATTCCATCAGCTAGTCTTTCTGCTTTTAGTGAACTCTTTTAAAGGATTTGTTGTAAAAGGATTAGTGTTTCTGCATAAGTGTGCTAAGAGCTGACTGTCCTGACCCCAAGAGAGTCATGGTGGAGACCTCTTCCTCTTTCCACTTGAGGAGCTTCTAAGGATGTGGAACTGCCATTCTGGGCTGTGTTCCCAGATGGACCGGTTTCCTTCTGTCCTCACGTAATAGAAAGTCTGAAAACATCTAGGCAGCAAAGAAATGAATATGTAAATTCATAGAATAGTTATCTATTTGTGGCTAACAGCCACTTCTCAGAGCAAATTTTATTGAGCCTCCCTCCGTTTAGCAGTTTGGCCAGAGACCCAGTGTCATTAGGTTTGGGGCTTCAGGTGAACCAGGTTGCTGTTGACAGTGGCTCCTTTGGCCATTTTTCTTTTAACTTTCTTTTGAAGTATAGTAAATACACAGAAAAATATGTGGCTCTGATAAATTGTTGTTAATGATTTTATTTTTGCTGCTATTTGAAGAATCAGTTAAATGAATGTACTAATACTATTTATGTATGACTTGCTGAATGTTCATAAATAGCACACCATGGAACCAGCACCCAGTTGAGAAGTGGAACGTTACCAGACCCTCAGTAGCCCTCTTTGTGCCTCTTTGTAGTCACTATCCACCCTTCCAAGGGGAACCTCTATTATGACTTCTAATAGCCCAGAGTAGTTTTGCCTGCTTTTATGCTTTTTATGTATATGAAGTGATACCATGTGTACTCTTCTGTGTCTGGCTTCTCTCCTTCACATTCATACAGTTGCCTTATAAACATTGGTATTCACTCACTTTGCTGTATTCTGTGTGGTCCTTTGGCTCATTTGAATGTAGTATTGTCAGTATTTTGCCAGGTATCTATGTTTGAGTGTGTTTGGGGTGTGGTCCTGCTTTATCTCCATGTTTTAAAATGGGTCTAAAAATAAAGGATAGGAATTAGAATGGTAAGATATTCAGGTGCATTATAATCAAAGCAGAATGAGCGAGAACTGGTCAAACTGAAAGAATTGTAGGTTCTGGATGGAGACCATGATCTTGGTCTTCATTAGCTTTGATTTGAGATTTTTTTGAAACCAGAATATAGACCACATTGTGAATAGGCAAGTTAGATCACATTTAGACTAAAAACATGATTTTGAACTAACACTGTATTTCTAGTCTGTTGAAATAAAACTTAATGTCTCCAAATTTGGGTGTCCTGATGTGTCACTCTTAGTTCACATATCACAGGAATGAGCTTGGCGATATAAAGGACTGAGGAAGCCCTAAGGACTAGTCAGTCCCTCTTGCATTGAGGCTTTTAGAATCTTCATTCCATTCAGTAGAAAAGGGAGGCACATCAATACTTTTTACCTTTCAAACCATTTCAAACCATTACCCAGCATAAGCACTTTCTTTTCTGGCTGCTTTTAAGAGCACCTGAATCTCTCAGGTAGAGTGAGGGGATGTCTCAGGAGCCCAGATGGAGCAGATTTGGAATCAAACTGCTTTAGTGAGAAACTGCAGGACAGGTTAAGAACCTGGGAACTTGGCTAGCAGGCTACTTACTGCTAGTGAATATGGACACATTTGATGGTGTCTAGAAAGTTAATGAGCACTTGGTAGGCTGATACTTTTTTTTTTTTTTTGAGAGGGCATCTCTCATATTTATTGATCAAATGGTTGTTAACAACAATAAAATTCTGTATAGGGGACTCTGCACAATCATTAATCAACCCCAAGCCTATTCTCAACAGTCTCCAATCTTCTGAAGCATAACGAACAAGTTCTTACATAGTGAATAAGTTCTTACATGGTGAACAGTGCAAGGGCAGTCATATCACAGGAACTTTCAGTTTTGATCATGCATCATGAACTATAAACAATCAAGTCAGATGTGATTATTCGTTTGATTTTTATACTTGATTTATATGTGAATCCCACATTTCTCCCTTATTATTATTATTATTATTATTTTAAATAAAATGCTGAAGTGGTAGGTAGATGCAAGATAAAGGTAGAAAACATAGTTTAGTGCTGTAAGAAGGCAAATGTAGATGATCAGATGATCAGGTGTGTGCCTATGGACTAAGTATTAATCCAGGCTAGACAAGGGCAGCAAGACATCCACGGATGCAGAAGATTTCTCTCAAAGCAGGGGGGGTGAGGTTCTGAGCCTCACCTCTGTTGATCCCCAAATTCTCACCTGATGGCCCCCCTGCGACTGTGCCTGTCTTAGGTTGTTCCTCCCTTGAGGAATCTCTGGCTAACCAGTCATCTTCTGGGGCCATACAGGGAAATGTAAAGTTGGTAAGTGAGAGAGAAGCCATATTGTTTGAAAAGGTTAGCTTTTTACTTCTTTGCAGATTTATGCCCTGTGGCTTCTATGCCCAGCACTTGTCTTGAGGTATCTTTACCACTTGGAAGAATTATGATACTCGGTAATTNTTTCGATATGAGGCACGAATTCTACTAAAGGGTTGTAATTAGGAAGGATTGCTAGGCTGATTCTTGCAGTCTACTAGGTTTTGTTGATTCAAACATTCTCGGGCATGAATCTTGGCTCCGAGTCCTAGTAGCTCTTTGGGGCTTAAGATGGTCTGACATCGCCCTCTGGTGGCTCTGTCTGGATATCGTTAGTGAAAGAGGGACTCTCTTCACTTCAGTTTGTTGGCCATTATCCCACGGTTCCAAAGGAAAAAAGCACACACGAACAATTTATTCTGCCATCGTTTTATCTATGCAGATTAAATACAGGAACCCATGTAGTAATGTAAGTAGAAGCAGTAAGAAGTTGTTATACTAGGCTCTTAGGATATTTCTAGTCAAGATGCCATCCATTTTTGGTGAGATACCCATCATTGGAATTCTGTCTCCAGTCCCTGAATTTCAAGATTTTTATGAGAAAGGGTAGTACTTAGAGAGTTTGACTATTTGCTTTTGGCATGCATAGTTTACCCTACGTGAATTATTAAATTTTGTAAGAGATCTCATAGTGGTACACTATATACATTACTTGAGACTTATGAAAATAGCATTGCATCTTATTTTTACCAGTCTAGATCATATCCGTGAGAATTTTCATCACAAATTTAATTATTCAGCCAAGAATAGTACTTTCCTTTCCACAAGTAACTTGACAATTTTCAAAAAGATCCCTCAGTGACTGTTCAATTAATTATGGAGCACATAGGGAATTGAAAGTTAAAGTTAGTGTGTGAATGGAGGCCATGTGGATCTCATTTTGTCTCATAAGTGCTCATAATACCTACTCTCTCACAGGGATTTTAAGATGTATAATTTTTATAAAGCACTTTAAGTTCCTGAGGAAGACCTCTATTTTAAAATGTTACTAGTTTGTATTCCATGTATCCATCTTACACTTAAACATTGACCAATCATTATCGTGCTGGCTTGAATGTTTTTTTAAGTTCACCTTATAGCAATGTCAGTAAAAATCACAAAACTTTAAAGTCCACATATTTTGCTTTTTCTAAGAAATGTTTTTCTTCCTTTTAGGTAACAAATACACTCTGGAGACTAGACCAACCCAAGAAGGAATTGATGTAAGACAAGAGCTACTGAAATTCCATTCTACTTTTTATTCATCCAATTTAATGGCTATTTGTGTTTTAGGCCGAGGTAAGAATACTTAAGATCTTTCATAGAATTGGATAATCTAAGTTTTCTGTTTTGGCTCTGTCAGAGTGTTGGAAGAAAGATGAAGATACAGCCTTTTATCTGCTCAGAAGCTTTTGAAAATGATCTCTTTTTTGGAGAATATGTAGAGGGGAATTTTGTTTTTAACTCACTGTGTTCTAAAAAGTTTAGCTGATTTTAAATGGAGACCAAAAGAAACTATAAGTTACAGTAAGTGCTCTAAGCATGTAAAAGCAAAGGAAGGAAGTACAGAGGAAAAGATTGGCATATTTGACCTTTAACAATGCAAAAAATTACAAACAAAATTAAAAGTCAGATGGAGATTAACTGGGAGAGCTATTTAGAATATAAACAAAGGTTTGATTTTTTAAATGCAAATTAACTAATGACAATACTTTGTTTTCCCCTATTAAATTACCATAATTTTGTTTTAAGTAATACCAATTATAGAGGTGCAGTATATTGGTGAAGGTGTATTAAATTTGTACAATTGCTCTAAACTTCCTGGAGGACAGTATAACAAGATGCATCACCCTTAAAAAGTACATTTTTACTTAAAGGACTGCAATGTGAGCAAATAATCAGTTATTCAAAAAGGTGATGTTCAGAATAAGTAAAAAAAGCAAGAGCTCTTTCAGTTCCCTGATCACATACACATCACTCTCCAGTGTGACTGGCCTCCTGTGCTAAGTAAGCTCAGTTGATTTGATGGAGGGGTCTGGGAGAGATATCCTTATAGTACAGAGGAGTAGAAGAGGAAACAGGGTGCCTAGGAGGATTAATAGGTAGTAATCCATTCCTTCTTCTAGGAGGGGAGAGAGAGTAACCTTGTGGAAGGATCTCTGTCACAAAGAGACCACAGGTGTTACTCTGTTCTCCCACGGGACTGTCCCTCTAGTTGTGGCAGCACTGATTACCTGGATATTTGGCATATAGGTAACTATCAAGTACAGGCACTGGGATGGCCAAGTCCTGATAATGTAAAGGTGAATGGGGCTCATTTTCCTCATCTCTGGTAGTTCACAGCTTAGTGGAGAAGACAGACTGCAGTATTGTACAGCTACCTCACCTTTAAAAAGCTGCATTGTAAATTTATACTTTTAGGGTAGAAAACATTGAAAGGCACACCTGGTAGAACCTTGCTGTCAAGGATCTTGTTGTCATCAACACTTGAGGTTGACAAACCTTTGTTGACTGCTCACCTTACTTCAAGTCTGCATGTTCTATCTGGCATAAAGATCTCTCTGACATCTTGTGCTCCAAAAATGCTTGCTCCATATTCCACTTGTCATATAACAAGCAGCTACTGGTCTGCCTTTTATGTGTTTCTGGACATTTTGAGGCCCTTCATACACGTAAAAAAAATTGAAGTGGAAAAAAGATACATTTTATAAATAAAGTACATATACCTACATTCATAGACCTAAGAGAATTTCATACTATATAAAGACAATTCTCAAATAGTGATTAAGTGCTCTCTAGAAAGTTCATGGAAAAGTTCAAAATGGGTCATAGACTGTCAGGAGAAATTTTTAGTTGATTCAAATGTTTTCTGACAGTAACAAGTTATGAATATTTATATCATTTACAAATAACCTATTTTTGAGGAGACAGAATCAAGGTGAGTGGTTATCTTGTTTACAGAAAGATAACCTTTTTTTCATTTTTTTTCAGAACAATAGTAATATGTGTACATGGAAAAAAATTTATCCCTCACAGAAAGGTGTAAATGGAAACCAAGTTCTTCCTCATCCTTTCATATGATGATGATGCCCTCTTTTTTTTTTTTTTTGAGAGGGCATCTCTCATATTTATTGATCATATGGTTCTTAACAACAATAAAATTCTCTATAGGGGACTCAATGCACAATCATTAATCAACCCCATGCCTAATTCTTTTTTTTTTTTAGACTTATTATTTTTTGTGTATGTGTGGTTTTGTCTTTTTTTTTTTTTTGAGAGGGCATAATGATGCCCTCTTATGCCTTTTCTTATTATACTTCCAAGTAGAATTTCGTTAATGCACTTACATATATGTATGTCTGTTAAAAAAAAACGAGATTATATAGGATAGCATTGTTAGCCTACAGTTTTCACTTTATAGAACTTTAAGAAATTTTCTTATCAGTACATACAGATCTCTCTCATTAATGGCTGCATAAAATTCCAGTGTATAACCATTTCCTAACATCCACAAATTGATGTTTAAGTCATTTCTAGTTTTTGTTGTAATAAAAGTGCAACAGTGAACATCTTATCTATACAGCTTTATAAACTTTTCAAGTGTACCTTTATATAAAAGATATAGGTAGGTGATACCATAGAAGAACTTCACTTAAGTGGTCATATAATTCTAGCAACAGTTACAGGTATTTGAGTGAGTCTGGCACATTATGATATAAAACCATATAGTATTAGACCCTAGAAGAGATTTGTGCTCATCTTACCCAACTTTTTTCTTACAGAATCTGGAGTTGTTAACCAGTTTGTCCAGTTAGTCAGTTGATATGTTTGGTTGGTGAAGCTGAGGTTAGAGTCCAGGTCATCTGATACCCTACCCAGGATTCTTTTCATCATTTTATACTATTCCCCTACAAAATCACTCACTCACAGACTCTAACATTTGACCTGGAACAATGGACTTAGACTATGTCTTTTTATAAAGTGAGTGTTATAATGTATCAGTTATCTAATATTTGTTTTAAATTTATTGCAAGATACTTGGAACCGTTTTTTAAACTATAAAAAGCTAGACATATGAAGTATAATAATCTATCAATGTTGCTTAGCAGCATTAGAAGTTATATAGGCAGTGGTAGAATTTAACTGAGTGCTTCAACTTTTATCAGATGAAATTTTTAAAAAAAAAATTCTACGTTTTCCTTTTAAGTCCTAAGATTTTTCAGAAGATCCTAAGCTTTTTACTTCAACTTTATTGAGATATAATGGAAATATTTTATAAGTTTAAGGCATACAGCATGGTGACTTTACATATGTGTATATCATCCTAAGATCTTAAATACTGCCTGTCATATGTTATGATTAGTTTAAATTTCATTATCATTGTCTTTTTGTAGAATCCTTAGATGATTTGACTGATCTGGTGGTCAAGTTATTTTCTGAGGTGGAAAACAAAAATGTCCCATTGCCAGAATTTCTGGAACACCCTTTCCAAGAAGAACATCTTAAAGTAAGTGCATTTTAAAAAAATTTATGGGCATAATATATGTCTGGTTTACCAGAGAGTAGGTGAAAAATTTGGAGTTTCATTATTTATGTCGCTTTTAATATTTGTCTAGATAATGAAATGAATTTCACATTTATTAGGGACATGTGTCTCTAAAAAGATATCAGTATGTTCTGATCTTTGCATGCTAAAAGTGGTTTTGGTAGCTGTAGCCTTGGCAGGCTGTCGAAGCTATTACCCTGGGCCAGAAGGCAAGCGCATTTAGCTGCATGGTCCAGGGGCCAAACGTGGATGGCATACCAACTGTACTGCAATTCCACTAAGAAACAGCCTGAATCATTAATTTTTTTGTAGTCAGTGTGATTTTCTCTGGCAGTTGATTTTCTTCTTAATTTAGGATTTTTCCATGAAAATCAGCATTATTCATAGTTTGTAAATATTCAGTAGGAGTTGTATATAGCTAATTTTTTTGATGTGTTTGGCTTTTTCCCCCCAGCAACTTTACAAAATAGTACCCATTAAGGATATTAGGAATCTTTATGTGACATTTCCCATACCCGACCTTCAGAGATACTACAAATCAAACCCTGGTCATTATCTTGGTCATCTCATTGGGCATGAAGGTCCTGGGAGTCTGTTATCAGAACTTAAATCAAAGGGTAAGTCTCTTGGGCACCAGCTTCCAAGTGTACTACCCCACATCTTTTTACTCTGACTCTAACTTTTTTCCTAAATATTTTCTTATGAAGGGACATTTTTGGAAGAGACTGTTTAGGGTTTATAGGAGGGTAAAGTGGTGGCAGTTGGTGTGCTATGGGTTTTCTGGGTTTTCTTTTTTCATGATTTGTTTTACCCTTCAGTATTGAGCAGTGAAGGTTAGATATTTCAGAAGATACTGTGGTACATGTTTTAAATAAGAGATGAAAAAGTAAAAGCTCACATTGGATTTTCTTTACCTTCTCTGTGAAATGACAGTACACATTATTTATTTGCCTGCTCTCATCCATCAAACCAGAGGGTATACCAGGATCTAGGCAATTCGGATGATTTCTAAGGCCCCTCTTAACTCAGACTCTGCTTTTACCTAAGTCTTAGGTGCAGTAGTCTACTCTTGACTTGGGAACTGATTTGAGGACTCTTGAGGAAAGCTCCCAAGCCAAAAAAATCACTTGAGTTTTCTGCAGTATCTGGAAAAAGGCTTTTCTGAACTGATTTTCTCCAGGCTTTTCTGCAGGAGGACCATTGTAATCTCTCAGGAACATAAATTTTTAAAAAGTTTGGGAGTATAAACTTTAAAAAGTTCCTTGTCTTAAAAGAAGCCATAACTTGCCATCATGTTAATTTCCTTTCGAATGTTACAGGCTGGGTAAACACTCTTGTTGGCGGGCAGAAGGAAGGAGCCCGAGGTTTTATGTTTTTTATCATTAATGTGGACCTGACTGAGGAAGGATTATGTAAGTATTGACCTTTTTGTTTCTGAATGAAAATTGACTTCTTATGATTTTTTAACTTTCTATACACTGAAGCTCTGTTTTTTGTTGTAAAAATGTAAACACTTCAATTTGTATAATTTATCCATTGTATTTTTCATGTATAATGGCCTGTGTTTCATGGATGATTTTCCCTCTTTAATAACTTATCGTTATGTTTCACTTATAAAATGTGTACTCAGCTTTTCATTTGCTCATTTACTGCCCCAAAGCCCTTTCTGGCACATATTCCATAGCCTGGAGGGCCGTGTGTGTGGGACCCTAACACTAGTCTGAGGGAGGTGACTCATTTCTAAGAGGGACCATCTTCTATTTACCTGACTTTATCTTAGGAGTGAGCCCACTGCTTTGAAGGATTTGAGGACTGAATGGTTTTTAAGTGTGCCCTTTTTTCCAGTACATGTTGAAGATATAATTTTGCACATGTTTCAATACATTCAGAAGTTACGTGCAGAAGGACCTCAAGAATGGGTTTTCCAAGAGTGCAAGGTACTTTTGTTTCACCAAAACTTTTCTTAAGGAAATTTTTTTCAGAAAACATATATATGTGAATTAATTTAAATGTAAGGCCCAATTAAACCTCTTAAGTTTTTTTTTTTTCCCCTAAAATCTAAACTCTCAAATTTTACAATGCATAGTAGCTTCAGATAAGGCTTAGTTATACTAGTCTGATTGGCTACCTGGGGCACAATTAAGGGCTAAGGCATGATATAGCCTTCTTTTTGGAGGAAAAAGGGAAGAAATCACATTGCTTTTCTATCCCTTAGGAGAAAGCCAGCAGTTTCTTGAGCTTGTACCTATCAGGGCTTACTTTACTCTCTGCCTGAAGCTCCATGAGCTCTGTCATTTTCAGATCTGGTGATAAAAATCTGAAGCAAACTTTCAAAGTAGTAGTGAATTGTTTTATTTAAGATTGTGTTCTTAAAAGTGGTTTTATGTATGGCACAGCCTAGCTATATATATATTTTTTTCTAAAACAAAAAGCATTAATCTTCCCAAATTTTAAAGGCTTCTTTTAAAAGTGTTTTAAAAAATAATATCCTTTTATATTTAAGGCCTATCAAGATTCTGAGATGTATTTTAGGATGAGAGACATCCTGTTTACCTAGGTAGAAGTTTAAAGGTAATTTCTGCTTGTGAAGCTTATGACAGTTAACTTCTAATTTGGGTGCAGTTCTCTGCGTGGGTCAACAAGTCATCGTGTATACAATTGTTGGCTCTCACAAGGTTCTTCCACTGTTTTCCTAATTCTTTGACTAATAGCTTCAACAATTTAATCTAGGGAATCATGTTCTATATTTATTATTTTCATTCATGTTGTCTACATTTCCAAGTCAAGCATAGCCATTTTTTAAGAAAGTTTGGTAAAGTTAAATATGGAGTAGAAAGTCTGTAGTGCAAACCAAACACTAAAAAAAGTATTTCTGAATAATAATAGTTGACTTAAGTCTAATTGGATTTAACTTTCTATTTTAGGACTTAAATGCTGTTGCTTTTAGGTTTAAAGATAAAGAGAGGCCACGAGGTTATACCTCTAAGATTGCAGGAATATTGCACGTAAGTTTGTTGTTATTTCACTGTGTACCTTGGTGTGTAAAGTATTTCAGTGAACTTGCATGTATTACTCTCCGTACTATTGGAAGTTGCTCTTACTAACAAGCATCCTCTACATTATTTTTCTTCACTAGCTGAAAATATAAGCCACTTCTCCCCAACAAGTTTTCTAATTGCTTGTCTGATTTTATTCATGGAAATTAAGACAGGAAAAGTTCAATCACAAAAATATATGTGCTCTATATTAAGAATCCTACAGGTGTCAACATCAAATTTTCTTCATTAATGAGTACTTAGTTTTTAGCCAGAAATATTAGTCACATTTTTCTCTGAAAAACTGACTTTGCTTGCTATGATGTAAGGGTTTTTGGAGATTAACTGCAAAATCATCCCATAATATGAAACTGCTTAAAGTGTGGTAGGAAAGAGAAAAGATTCAGAAAGTTTTTCCAGTGGCATAAAATTTAATTGAAAGGAAGAGAGGAATGTAAAATAGTGGATTTAATATATTAGAAATTTATTTGCTTTAATAAGACTTTGTAGTAGCCTTGCATATTTTATTTATCTGTTTATTTTTTTCTTTTAATAAGTATTATCCCCTAGAAGAAGTGCTCACAGCAGAATATTTACTGGAGGAATTTAGACCTGATTTAATAGAAATGGTTCTTGACAAACTCAGACCAGAAAATGTCCGGTGAGTCACTCTACAGATTTTACTGTCATATACTAAATTTTCAGTAATGATTAGAATCTGAAAGTCTGGAATTGTGAATAAAATGCTTTTAAGCTTTTTATAAATCTTAAATACAAAAGTAAAGAGACTAGTTTAAAAACCCAATACCAAACATCCTATAATCAATACATGGGGAGTCTTTTTTATCTTTGTCTACCCCTTTTCACTCTTCCTTCCTCCACTCTAGATTATTTTGAGGCAGTATCTCTAAAACAGGATGACTCTTTTTTTTAACATTATCATAATTGCATTACAATGAATAAATATAATAATAGATTGTTTTAATCTGGGTTCATCCTAATTCAAATACCCAGGGTATCGGCTCACCTATCTGGCTTTATAAGCAAGTGAGAACCTTGTGTTTGTTTTAAGTTGACATAAGGTGTTGGCCTCAGAATCCTTCTGACTGACTGGTGGTTAACCAGGATATCAAAAGTTGGAGGAGCGCACAGAGGTATTCCTATTAAGGAGGGTCAACTCTAAAGAGGTTATAAGCTACCACATGATAATTCTGCCTCAAAATTGAATTTCATCTGTATTTTCTAAGTCAAATAATAGAATATACTTGACTGGCACATATTTTAGATTTTTTGTTTTTCTCCTCTGTCAAGCACATATTTCCAAAATCCTCCTGGGGAGTTGGCATTTGAATAAATATGTTTTTTTGGAACAGTCATTTATGAATAAAATCAACAATCTGGTATGACTTTGTGAAGAAAAAAAATTTTCTAACAGAACTATTCTATCAAAGTGCTTTTCCTAGTTTCCATTGTTTGACCTTTTCCAGGTATATACTAGCAACAAACAGAGGGAAAAGTAAAAAATATTATTGGTGGTTTCACAGATCTACACCTGTGATGAAATAACATAGAACTATATTGAACCAATACATTGTATCAACACCAATTTCCATGAGATCATGGACAGATCACTTTTTTCTTTGACCTGTGTTTATTGAATAACACACAGTTTTGATGTTTTACTATAATTATATAAGATGTAACTATTGAGGAAAACTACTATTTTTGTATCTGTGAAATTATAATTATTTCAAAGTAAAAAATTAAAGATCTTTACAGTAGCAACAAATATAAGAAATACATAGGAATAAATTTAACCAAAGATAAGCAGGATCTCTACAAAGAAAACTATTCAACAGTGCCAAGAAGATATTAAAGATCTTGTTCATAAATTAGGAGACTTGCTATTATTACAAAGTAATGTCTCTCCAGTCTAATTCACAGACTCATTGTAATCAAAATCCTAGCAGACTTTTTTCTTTTAGAAGTTGATAAGCTGATTCCAAAATTCTTATGGATATACAATGGATCTAGATTAGCCAGAATACTCTTAAACATAAAAACCAAAGTTGGAGAACTCAAACTGCCAGATTTCAGGACTTAACTATAAAACTACAGTAATTAAGACATTTTGTATTGGCATAAGGGTAGACAAAGAAATCACTAGAACAGAACAGAACATCTAGAAATAGGCCCACACATACTTGGTCAATTGGTTTCTTATTGTGGTAGAAACATTACATAAAATATGTAATCTGAGCCATTTTTCAGTGTACAATTCCATAGTGTTAAGTATATTCATATTGTTGTGAAACAGAGCTCCAAAACTTGATTTCATCTTGCAAAACTGAAACTATACCCATTAAACAACTCCTCTTTTCCCCTTCTACCAATCCCTGATAACCACTGTTCTACTTTGTGTTTCTATGGATTTGACTGTTTACATACCTAGTATAAGTGGAATCATTCAACATACCTTTATTTCACTTAGTATAATGTCCTCAAGGTAAACCCATGTTGTAGCAGGATTTCCTTCCTTTTTAAATGTCAATAATAATCCCACTGTATGTACGTTTTCTTTATTCATTCATTGTTGGTCAGTTGATTTTTTTGACAAAGTCACCAACATAATTATATTGGGAAAGAAAAGTCTTTTCAATGCATTTACTTTCATGATTAAAATACATGGAAGAAAAATACTCAGAACACACACTAAATCATTTCAGGCAAGTCAAACAATTTAAATATTTGTATTTTCCTCAATGTAGCTTATATATTCCAAAAAATTTCAACCTAAATACTGTTGAATTTTACTATATACCTTCTAAAAACAAAACCTCCTGTCAACACAGGGAGAAAGAGCTTTGAAATAGAACTCACTGGACAGTTGTTAAGGTTCCTTCCTGTGACTAGTTATATTTGGTTTTGTCACCTACTGGCCATGAGATCTTGGACAGATCACTTTTTTCTTTGACCTGTGTTTATTGAATAACTGTTGTGCAGCCTCAGATCCCATCATCCTGCAAAGGGGAAATGTGAAAAATTAACTTTAAATAATGTCATGAACACTGACTCCCATTCATTTCCCTTGAAACTTGCCCATCTGCAAAATGGTGATATACTGTTATCTATGACACAAAGTGATTTAGCAAAGTTGAAAAATGTACAACTATAAGATTATATCATATAATAAGGATGTGCTTTTTTCACAGGAAAAATTGTGGTTTTAATTGTGTTCATATAATTCTTGATGCCCTAGAGCTAGTAGTTTGATCCAGCAATACTTTGAAGGAGTGAATTTGCAGGAGCATACTACTTGTGTTTAAACTGCATGCTCCTAAATTTGGTATTTTACACAGAGTTGAGAACCTCTTTTTCTCTACCTCACCTTTAAAAAAACGCTTTTTCTCTTCAGGGTTGGTCTGGGTGGAGGTTATAGCTGTAATAGTAGCTGATCAGTGATACAGTGCAGGTAATAGTGCCAGCTGCCAGGCCAGACTGGGGTTGCTTGAGGGTTAGTTTACCTTCTTTCATACCCACTGAGGCAAGTTTAACATTGCAACCAGGTAGGAAAGTATTTCAGATTGAAAGGAACCTTAAAGGACATTTATTTCAACCTCTGTCAAATGTAAATCTTTTTTTGCAATAATTCCAACAAGTAGTTAACAGCCTCAATTTAAATTCCTCCGAGAATGGGAAGCTCATTAAATACCAAAGTAGCTAGCCAATTTCATTTTTGCCAGTCCCGATTGAAAGTTTTTTTTAAATTGGGGTGCACTTGACATATAACATTATATTAGTTTAAGGTGTACAACATAAAGATTAGATGTTTGTACATATTGCAAAATGATTACAATAAGTCTAGTTGATACTTGTCTCCATACATAGTTAAAAATTTTTTTCCGTGGTTAGAACTTTTAAGATCTCTCTTAGCAACTTGTTAGAAGAATGTTGACTTGATTTACCTTTTCAAAGACTTTTACTGTTAATAGTCCATCATCATCACCCACTCCCTTTGATCTTGTCATTTGGGACCATTTTACTATATTAAACCTACACATACAGCTACAGAGTCTTGGCCACATGCCCTGTTTAAGTCATAAATCAATCCATTCATTTGGGAGCAATTATTCTTGGGGAATCCATGCAGGTCTTAGTGATAACTCTTCTTGGCTAAATGTTTGACAGTCTGACAGTTGACTATAGAATATTATCAGAGTCAATGCCTAGTCCACAGGTTTATGGTTTTTATGTCCCATTCCTTTTCTTTTCTGAAAATCAGAGCATTTGTCCATCTCTAGTCTTCTGCCTCTTCTCCTGTCCTCCAGTATTTCTCAAAGGCATTGGGTGATGTTCCTGCTGGGATTTGTTAGTTGCCTAAGCAACAGAGAATATGACTCATCTGTAGTGGAGATGTGAGTTCATTTGAGTCCCTTGGCTGGCTCCCTCACCAATCCTGGGCCTCAACTCCTTGTTTGTGTTGTTTGGTCTACCTTGGCAGTTTAAAAACCCATGATTCTTTCAAAGACTATGTAAATAAAAGGTCAGTAGCCCTGTCACCTTCTCATAGGAGACCAGCGCGCCATGTTCTGCTTTAGGTCAAGTGTGCTCTCCGAGGATGAGTTCCTTTCAGGTAGGAACTGTGTTTTATCTTCCCTAGAATTCAAGCTAGTAAGGGCTCAGTAAATGTTGATTGAATTCTCTTAAGCTTTTAAGAGATTTCTTTTTTTAAAAAATTTTTTTAATATTTTTTCATGAGCCTCAATTTCTTTAGCACTTTTAGCCTTCCTGTCACTGTTAAGTTTGGTTTGGGTCTCATCAATAGTTTTTTTTTATTTTCTTTATTCTTCTGTGTGTAATCTTTTAAAAATATGATTTGATACCATAATCTTGTCACTTTCTGCTAGTGGAAAGAAAGATAAGGGTTCATCTAGTTTGAATTCCTATTTGAAAAGTAATGAAACTGAAGCCTAGACATTTATCTAACTTAGATCTTGACCATGATTTTGGCAAAATCTGAAAGAAATTGGTCAGAGTATTGACCAGAATCTAAGTTTCTGATGGCTAGGTCTGTGCCTTTTTCATTAATTCTGTTGAATTCATCACAGTTACTTATGAAGCCTCTCTTTATTCTTGGATGTCTACCTGCCTTTCACAGGGATTATTTGTAGAAATCTTGTGAGAAGTCATTCCTTGGGAACCATGTTGCCTTTCAATGTCTGTAGTGGGACACTCACTGTTTCTGAATGGGTCCCACCCAGCTCCAGCAGCTGTTCATTGCCTCTGAGGATTTCTAAATGGCTGACTTGAAATCACAGTGAGCCTTCTCTCTAACCCTCTGATTTCCTTCTCACTGTTGTAAGCTTCAGTATGAAAATAAAAAGTATTTTCTTTCATATTTCTAAGGATTGCGTTAGTACCATATCAGAAGCCAATTTTTTGCGGGCAGAATTAACAGTAAAGGATAGCATTGCCACACTTACACCCCAACTTAAGAAAGATAAAAGACTATTTTTAAGCATAATTGAATTTCCAGCATATAGTCTAAGATACTGCAATGTCTGTGCCAGTTTTTCTCAGCCTCGTGCAGTTAAACACACTGAAGCTTTCTGTGGTATACTTTGATTATTGCGACTTCTCTTTTCTTCCTTTTTCCTAACCCATGTACTCCTTTGCTTCCATACTCTGGTTAGTAGATTTCTATATAGGTTTGGTGAATGTATACTCTGTCTCTATTGTCCCTTCCTTACCTTTTATAATTTATTTTTAAGTACATAATCTTCCATTGTTTATTTCAGTTTTGAATTCCTCAGTGGTACCCTAACTCTTGCTCTGCACCTAGTTGATATTTGCCTAGTTTGAGGAACTGTGTTTATCTACTTCATACTTATTCGCTTATGATAGCATTTCAAATGTTACCCATGTGCTGCACTTTGGTATATAACTATGTAAATCCCTTAGGATTGTACCTGAACAATCTGCCTTCTCCCCTTGCACTCCACTTTAACCTGAGTATTACAGGGCTGCCCCCAGTGTCTGCTTTTTTCTGTATCATATAGTTGTCCTCCGTAGCATTTGGCAGCCTTCCCTGAGATTTTCCACTTTCTCTCTCAGAACTGAATTTGAAGTTTTCTTGTTTCAGAGGGCAAGTCCATTGCCAGATGAAAGCTTCAGTGTGCACAAGTTATGATCAGTCCTTTGCTCCATTGTTCTGATGCCTGGGCTGTTGTTCAGGGAAGCCAAAGCTGTGTGTAACAAACTTCCAAAATCAGGCATTTCATGGAAGAGAAAATGGGAATACCACCACTCTACCAGGTTATTCTGCTTCCTAAACATTTTTCAGAAGTCTCCCTAGGAATCAGTCTGTTCATTCTTTGTGATATCAAAGAAGGTGGAAGCAATTTCTAGAGCTGAGTCTCAGCAGGCTCTGTCATGTTTTGAGTGAATGCCCTTAAGAAATGTCATGTGCCCTTCATGGAGTCATGTGAGTTCTATGCCTACTCTGCATACCACTCAAAGGGGATTCTCAAGCTACCAACATGCATCTCTTTTTCTGAACATACTAAGAGAACTTTTTTATCCATGAAACCCTATGATTCCTCTCTGTGTTTCTGTGTGATATATTATTTGGCATGGTTTTTAGAATTGGTAGTGGTCAGTGGCAGCTAGGTCAGATCAGGAACACCTTGAGCTGGAAGATTAGTTTGCATTCTAACAGATAGATGAGTTGGATTGCTTATGATATCTATCCTAAAGCACATGATAAGACCAAGTCCAGTTATCCTGGTAATTTTGTCTGGAATGAATAAGAAATAGATAGTGGTTCAGATAGTCAGGCATTAAAGTTGAGGAGGTCCAATGAGGAGCAGGTGTTTGGGACACAGAGATTAGGATTCTGAAAATGGATGGGTATTCCCTAGAAGGGGGTTTCCTTTGCAAATTCTGGGCTTTCAGCTGTGAGGCCTTCAGTGGGTAGAACAAACTTCTGGGAGCACAGGTGAAAACAAGCAGGAACAGACATGGACCTAGTTATTTGAATTGGGACAGATCAGGAGACATGGAACCAGTAACAGGACTGGGAAGCCATCCAAGCTATTGGCCTACAACTCTTTTATCCACAAGATTGAAAATCAGATTCTCTGCTGATGGGAGTGTAATGATTCCAATTTTGATAATTAAAAGGCAGCAGAGGCAGAAATGTCCCAAATCCTCCAGGGGATGGGAGTTCTGCTGGTACCCAGCTGTTTTTCTCCTCTACTCATAATCTTTGACATCATTTTATCTCTGCCTTCCCTCCTGAGCTTTTTTCTTATATGTTCTCTTCTGAACTGTTTCTACTATCCCATCAAAGAAAGCTTTTCGTAAACCAGAAGATGAGAAACGTTTCTTGGCCTTGTCCCCTTCTCTTCTATCAGCAGGAAGACCAATGTACATGGATAGACATATTTGTTGATAGTCTCTGGCAGGACAAAAACATAAAGCACAAACTTAGCAAGGAATAGTAAAAGTGTGGTTTTGGTTTTTTGTATCTCTGAATGAGCCAACAGGTTTTCTTAGCCATTCTCATTAACCCTGGGCCGAGCTGTTCCTTGGGAGTGCTTTGTTTTCCCTTTTAGGGACTGTTTTTCAGCCGACCTTGTTCCATGCCTACCGCTGCTTCCCTTTTTTTTGCTCCTAAAATTTTAATCAGTAGTACATCCACATGAACCTTTCCTGAAAGTACTTTTTTACACAAAAAAATGGTGGGCTATAACCAGAGGATAACAGACTATGATCAGAAACCTCAATACATAAACTGCCTTTTTTGATCTAAGCCTTATGGGATTTACTGGATCTTAGAGGCCCATCGTATTCTGGGATGTTATTTACATTTTCATGAGTCAAGTTCTATAAATTTAAATATACAACCTGAGTTTTTTCTGTTTGTTTTTTCCATATATCTTTAGGGTTGCAATAGTTTCCAAATCTTTTGAAGGAAAAACTGATCGCACAGAAGAGTGGTATGGGACCCAGTACAAACAAGAAGCTTTATCAGACGAAATCATTCAGGTAGGTTAACTTATCTGTGAATAAGCCTGATGTGTGAGAGGCACACAAGAACTTGATCTTCCTGTATCAAACAGCTTCTTGGCTCAGAGTGTGGAGTGGTGGCCCACTGCTGCCTGTATGGTCCTGAGGGGAGTGAACAAGAGAGGGAGAGCTGGAGCTTAGATTTTTGCATGCGAAAATGTCACTTTGTGTCCATTAGACCAGACCAGCTGTAAAGGAGACTCCCAGCCTTGTGCAGTCAAAGATCACTGAAGTCCAAAGTATACAGAGGAGCAAAGGCAGCAAGACAGGCTGGAAGAAATGGAAATAGCTTAGAAGACAGGTGCTAAGGCTCCAGAGAGCTCACGATCTTGCTGTGCACACAGGGAGCAGTGTCTGAAATTCATACTGCCTTCACATTAGGAGGACCTGTATATTTTATGTCTCATATTGTATCTTTGCTCTTTTTGTCAGTATAGGGGGATTAGGGTTTGTTTCAAAACAGGTCTGTTCAGATAGTATGTTACCCCATTGATCACATTCATCAAGATTTTGTTTGTGAGTCTTACCTACTTGTGCAGTACTTTTTCTCTTTTGGTTCTCAAGTCTGTGGCTTTGAATGTGTTCATAGGAAGATACCAGAAGGCCTTGGTCTGACTAGATTCTAGTTAAACTCAAGTAATGGACATTTCTTTTTTCTTTTTTTGCAGTTTTTTTTGTTGAGGTATAACTGACATATAACATTAATTTCAGGTGTACAATATAATGAGTTGATACATGAATATATTATGAGATGATCATAATAAGTTTAGTTAACATCCATTACCATACATTGTTACAAATTTATTTTCCTTGTGATAAGAACTTTAAGATCTACTTTCTTAGCAACTTTCAAATATACAATACAGTATTGATTGACTATAATCACTGTAAACCGCTCATTTCGTCGCCAGGACTTACTTATCCTATAATTGGAAGTTTGTACCTTTTGGCTATCTTCACCTATTTCACCCATCCCCCATTACCTGCCTCTGTCAGTTACTAGTCTGTTCTCTGTATCTATCAGTTCAGTTTTTTGTTTTGTTTTGTTTTTTAGATTCTCTGTATAAGTGAGAGCATATGGTATTTGTCCTTCCCTGTCTGACTAATTTCACTTAGCATAATGCTCTCAAGGTCCATCCATTTTTTGCAAATGGCAGGATTTCCTTCTTTGTTTCATTGCCAAATAATATTCCATTGTTTATGTATACACCATGTTTTCTATATCAATTTGCAAAGAATTTTTATGTATTATTTTTAACTTAACAAATTTGGAAAGTTTTCAAATATATTAATATTCAGTACTTATGAAGATTTGCAAAACATGAAATACAGAGGAATAAAATGATAGCAATTTGGCAAAATATATCAAAAGCCTCAAAATGAATCTGTTTAGAATTAACTCTTCTTATGATAGCTATCATAAGAAAGTAATCTTAAATGAAAATTTGGTCTAATCTGTAATGTCAGACATAAATACTTTAGGACCCAATGATGTAATGGAATATTATGTAGCTACAAAATATTTGCAATAAGATTTTAATAAACTGGAGAATAGATGATGTCATAATACTCTAGAAACAAAACTGCCTCTAAAATTCTATGCAGACTATTAAAACTATTTTTAAAAGACATGGGTAAAAGAGAAATATAATGAAATGTTAACATATCAGCTGTTTTGGGGTCTTGTAAATTTTTTTGGAAATTTCTTAAATGTACCTAGGTAATAACAATACAGAAAAAAAAAGAAATAGTTAAAGAAAGAAACTCATCACTGGTACTTCTCTGACCGCTACAGCACAGAAGGAGATCCTGGGGCACTTGTGTTTGTGAAAAGAACTTAAACTGCGAGGAAAGCCAATCTATGAATTAATCCTAAAACAGGAGTGAACCCTTACTCACCAAACTGTCTGAAACCTGCCCTGAATGGGAATTTTTAAAAAACAAACTTGTTTGGAGCTCAGCAGTGAAATTACATGCTAAGTTTCCCAGTACTACTATTTAATCATTTAGGAAACTTAGGTTGCTTATTATAAATAATATGGAATCTCAGTGCCAAAGGACACACAAATGCAGGGACCAAAATAGTGCTGCAAAAGTAGCAGGGCTGTGCCTCATCAGCTGGAGACCAGGTTTCTGAACTCAGAATTACTGGCAGTCAGGTTTCTTACTTCTTTTTAAATAATGAAAAGTCTTGTAAATTGGAGTTCAACAATCAGTGGCCTGTGATCTGTCTTCTTAGCTTTTGGAACTAGGCTATGGAACAGATCCAACCTGCAGGTTGTGTCAACCCCTGTCCCACAATCCAAACTTAAGTCTCAACTTTGTTCTTAACCTTGTGCTTGAATTACTGGTTCACTTGGAAGTGCATATGATCATCTGGGAGAATTGTGAACCAGGCCTTAAGAAGAAGTAGTGGAGTGGAAGAGGCACCCTTAAGCCTAACTTTCAGGCCATATATGCATGTAAGTTAGTGTAGCTAAAAGTTTAACTATTATATAAATATACTGTTTTCTAGTCATTATGGGAATATGTCCCTGTGCAGATTGTTCTCCATTCTTTAAAGAGCTAGAGCAAACATCATCTTCATATGGACCAGTGCCTCTCGGTGTTCCAGCCTCAGATTGTTCCTTAACCTCAGCTGGTCATTTTGGAGCTGTGTAAAGAGGAAAGATAGATAAGTATAAAACTTTGATTAGTACCAGAGAGACCAACTTGTTTCATGAAAAATCATCATTAGATCTTGGGATTTGCCTCTTTGTATATGATGAAAAAGAATGCTGTGACATTTATCCCTTACTATTTGCCTGAACATTAAGCAAAGGGAGTATTGAATCAGACTAATTGTTTTTGTGTGTATGTGTTTCATTATTCATCCAGAAATGGCAAAATGCTGACCTCAATGGAAAATTTAAACTTCCAACGAAGAATGAATTTATTCCTACAGATTTTGATATTTTACCATTAGAAAAGGAAGCGACATCATACCCTTCTCTTATTAAGGTAATATGTTAGATTCAGTGATTTTTAAATTTAGGGTATGGACCTATTGCATGGAAGCTACTAGAGATGATTTCCTGTATTTGCACCATGTTGATTTTGTTGGCTGTCATACTGAGAGGTGACAGGAGAGTTACAGAGAGAATAACTAAGAGAAATATTAAAGACTAAAAATGTTAAAGCAAACAAACTACTGAACAACTTAGAATCTAGGGAATTGTTTTCTTTGCAGAAAAAAAGGTAAATCTGGGCTGTAACCAAAAATCTGTTGAAAGTTAGCAACTTTTTTGCATATTCACTGGAGACCCAATAAAGAAGCAAATTTATGTTGCATCATGACAGTTAGACATAAGAAGAATCTCTACAGCCTGGAAGAGAGCATATCTAAGGGAAGCTATTGGGTTCCTGCCCTTAAAAACAATTGTTATTTTAACAGAAAGACTCTGTGGAATTAGTCATTATAATGGAATTACATGCCAGTGAAAAGGGTGATTGAGAAGTGGATTTGTTTTTTTTCTCTTCTTCAGAATATTTTTTTCATGTCATTATATCACATTTTGAGTAAACTATGTAGAAAAAAGGATCAAATTATTACAGCACATCCTTTCTCTTCTCTAAACTTGCCTCCATAAACACACATCTTTCTTTTCATTTTCGTCAAATGATTTAAGATGCAAGTTAACTGAGTTAGATGAGAATTAGTGTTTAGGAACATGAAATTTATCTCAAGCAACTAGATTATGAATCAGACCACCATTTTTCTTTAAAAATGACATTTTAATGAATTATAGATTATTCAAAGAGAAAGTTTATTTGCCTCTCCTATTTTTAGTTGTTTGTTTTAAATAGGCTTTCTTAGAGTAAACTAAGAACATTAAACTACTTATACCTCTTGTCAGAGTTTCAAGTGAACATCCAAGCATTTTAATGCAGTATGAGTGAAGTGAAGAGTCAAGGTAGTAGCTTGATTGTTCATCCTTGGCTGTGTTAGTTATCCATTGCTGTATAATAAGGTACTCCAAAATTTAGCAGCTTCAAACTACAAAAACGTATTTTATCTCATGCAGTTTCTGAGGGTCAGGGATCTGGAAGTGGCTTAGCTGGGTAGTTATGAGGTCTTCCATGGGGTCACAGTCATCCTGTGGGCCAGGGCTTCCATCACCTGGGGGCTTAGCGAGGGCTAGAGGACTCTCCAAGTTGCGGTTGTGTGGTTGCTGTCAGGCAGTATTCTTTGCTACATACACGGGCCTCTCCTGAGAGTTGCTAGACATAGCAGCTGCTGGCACAGTGAGTGGTCCAAGAGAGAAAGTGAGTGATCAAGATGGAAGCCACAGTGTCTATTTTATATTCTAATCTCAGAGGAATCATACCATCACTTCCATCATACTCTGTTGGTCAGGTAGACTAACACTGGCCCTGTGTGGGTGACAGGACTACACAGGTCCTGAATGGCACCTTGAGGCTGGCTGCCCCATCTTCCCCTAAGGACTCCTGCCTCCGCCTCCCAGTGTCCAGAAGGACAGACAGGGCAATTGGTATTGACATCTCCACATTCTGTCTCTTCCTCAATGGTGTCACCATCTCCATAACCCAGGGAAGACAGAAGGATGATTTCTCTGCTACTGGAATCATCAGTCTTCCCTCTTCAGCTTCCCACCTGGTGACCCTCTGAGTACTCTTCAAGGCCATGAGTTGGCAGCCTCTCCAGAGCAAAACTCTCAGTGACATCCTCTGTTCTGCTCCTCTTAAAGAGTGATTTGATTGAACTTTTTTGCTGAATGTACCTATATTTCCCTAACCAAATTGTTTCTCCATCACAGGATACAGCTATGAGCAAGCTTTGGTTCAAACAAGATGATAAGTTTTTCTTGCCAAAGGCATGTCTCAACTTCGAATTTTTCAGGTATGTAAAATGGATCTAGCTAGTTTCCTATAAAAATCAACAATTATGTTTCTAAAAGTTTTCTTTACTAGCTTGAGGGTTCATGTCTAGAAAGCAAAGGAATTAGAGTTATTTAGCTGACACAAGGGAAGCTGCTGTTGTTCAGGGTTATTGTAAGACCCAAGATTATTGATTCTTCCTTTCCATTAATGACTGTGTCATGTAACTGAAATGACTTATGTTAACTATTAGGAGGACCTTTGTAACCTCCAGGGTTTTGGAATCTGGGGAGGCTATAGACACACCCAGAAGTTTCACTGAAGAAAGATGAAATAACTTGGGGTGTTTTTTGTTGTGGTTTTGGTTTTGTATCCCTGGAACTTGCCCAGAAGACGAGGTAGTAGACACCAAACGATCTTGAATTCCTTCCAGCCCTGTAACTGTCCAGAGCCCTTAGATATTGCTTCCTTTATTCCCGCCTTGGTTACTTAAAAGTGATTTAATAGGAAGAAGATGTCTAGTAAAATTTATGAATACTGATACTTTTGCAGTGATTTTTCAGTATAAATCTTCATCTGTCTCCTTTTAATATTTGTATGGTGAAGTATATCACCATGTGAATTTTACTTGTGAGTTTACACACCTTATAATTTCATATTTCTAAAAGTCAGTGATCCATGTTTATGAAGTCAACTTATCATGTAATTTTAATATGATCAGCATTTCCACTAATTTTTCTTTTTTTCCTTTTTTTTTAAGTATCTTTATTTCCACTAATTTTTATTTGATTAGCTTGACATGAAATTAAAGCTAGGTATGTTTTAAATGTTTTGGGAAAGGAAAAAAGACTCTCTAGATAGAAAGTTGATACTTTAGCAGAAAGTTTTGTTGAGTTTGTAGGGATGTAAACATTGTGTTTTATAGCATGAGATTCATAGACTATCTGGAGCTGTGCTGAGATTATTTTTTACACCAAACACAGGCTCTCCAGCTACAGCTTATTGTTGGTAAATAGCATTACAAAGCTGGTTTTATTTTCTGCTAGTTCTGAGTGATATTTTTAATATACTCCATGCAGCTTGTCAACACTTTTCCATTTGGTGTTTATGATTATGAATCCCTTCACAATGCCTTTTGTTTGACATTTTTGCACTCTCTAAACTGCTCAGCACAGTTCTTAAAATTTAAAAACACCAGCTCTCCCGCCAAACCCGCTCTCTGTGTTCTGGTTTTCCTAGAGGTAAACGCTCTTAGGTTTCTTGTTCATTCTTATATAAATTTTGTGTGTGTGATATCCTTTCAATCTTTAAAGAAATGGGATTATATTATGTATACTTAGTTACAGTTTTTAAAACTCTGATCCATATTTAAGTATATAGCGCCAGATTGCAAAATAATATTTTTTAAATTAACGAACAAGAACTGAAGCATTCCAGTTGAGTAATGTTATCTTTTAAAAATTGGTTTAGGACCCTCTCCAATTCACCAGCACAGTTGGTATGAATGCAGCATATTAGGACACTTCTTGGGATTGCATTCTGAGCTTGAGCCATTTGGCTTTAAGCTTCCAGACGTGGCTTTTTCTGGCTTGTCACTAAAACCTAAGAAAGGTACATAGGTGCCTGTGGGGCTAAGTCCTTTCATAGACTCGTCTACTTTGATAATTTTACTTTGGTGAATTGTGCCGTAAGTTTCTGACCTGCTGCTTGCCTAAAGAAGAAAGTCTGTCCTTGTAGGTGATATTTTAAAAAATTCAACGACATAGTAGTAATTTAGATTTTCTGGGTGGAGAATGTTTGCATAGCTGTTCACTCCTATTTTTGCTTCAATATCAGCTTTGATAAAATTGTTGACTTTGCTATCAGTACATCAAGTTATATTACTGTGCCACAGATAGAGTGACAGTTTTAATTCTCTGCCAAACAAGCCAAGCAGGCACCTGCCTCAGGTCCTTTACAGTAGCTTTTTCTTAAGCCTGGAAATTTCTCCACCCAGATCTCTCCAGGAGCTTGCTCCTTTGCATCCTTCAGGTCTGGGCCCAGATGTCACCTTATCAGAGAGGGAGGCCCCAATTAACCATCTGTGTAAACTAGCAATCCTCCTAACCCAACACCACCACCCATCACTTCTGTTCCCCTTACCCTGCTTAATTTTCTCCATAACTATCACCAGCTGATGTGTCATGCTTAAATCGACTGTTTCTCTCTTCCAAATACATTGTAAATGCTGTGAGGTATGGGACTATTCCTGCTTGTTCCTTCTTTATTCCCAGTACCTAAAGAAGAGCCTAGCACTGTAGTAAGGAATGTAATACATACTTGTTAAATGAATGAATCTTTTACTTGATTCTCATAAAGGTAAGCAGCGTCAAATAGTCAAATGAACAGATCATTTGATTTGCATTTGAATCCTAACTCTACTGCTACCAGCCAAGGTGACATGAGGAAAATTATGTTTCCTATTTGGGAAATGAAGATTTAAATTAGGTGATTTATGTGGTTTTATTTAGCTCTTACACTGTAATTGTTTCATGTTTTTTCCTACTCTTTTTCACTTAAGTATTTTCCTATGTTAATACTTTTTCCTAGTTCTGGTTGCAATTATATGGTGGAAATTTCTAATTAGTTTGCTAACAGTGCTCCAACTGTATTGGTTTGGGGGAAAACTCAGAGATCAGCTAACATTTTTACAGGTCTCTGTTTTTCTCTCTTCGTTCATATAATCATCGCACATAAACTTCTCAATCTCATATTCTTGTCCACCAAGGGTGTGGATTGCCTAGAGGGAGAAAGAGGACATGCAAATACTATATCAGCTCTATCAGCCATACCTTTTCCTGTTAGCCTAAATGTAGCCATACATTTTGGGCTGTCCCCACTCCTTAACTGCCCTGTGTTTGTAGTTTCTCCATTGTGCCACACCATCTGGGGTAAGCAGTTTCTTCTCCCTCTTCACTACCACCAGCACATGTGGCATAGTTCAGGCTTCTTTTTCAGACATCTTGTTTTTTTCTTCATGAGAAGAAGTAGAGGCAAGAATTCAAATAATATCTTTAGGAAATTATATTAACTGTTGTTCAGTGTCTTGATCCATCTCAAAGGCCACATCACATTGGGAAGTAATAAATCAGCTATTTTACTGTCAACATTTTCTTCCAGCCCATTTGCTTATGTGGACCCCTTGCACTGTAACATGGCCTATTTGTACCTTGAGCTCCTCAAAGACTCACTCAACGAGTATGCATATGCAGCAGAGCTAGCAGGCTTGAGCTATGACCTCCAAAATACCATCTATGGGATGTATGTAAGTACCCACGTCGTAGAGCCTTCCACTCATCAACATTTTTTATATTGATTTGATGGAAGCATTTTTGATTGAGGGTATGAGTTTAATTTCTTTTTTTTTTATCTTTATGGCTAATCACATTTTCTCATCATTTAATTTTTAAGTTAGCTATTATTCTAAGTATTCAGCAATATACCATTCATATTATGCAAATTTTCCTTGATTTCTTTTTTTTTAACATCTTTCACCAGATTGTCATATTTTTCTCTTCAAAATTGGACCTTGATTTAGGTTTAGCTATCACTTATTTCATATCTGAAGTCTCAGTCTTTGAAAACGGAGAATGAAGCCGTCCTGCCATTGTAAAACATGAGGTTGGCCTATACTATTTCCCTAGAAATTCAGGTCATGAGGCTGCATATCCATACTCTTCGGTCATGTTTCTTCATTACCATGCCACTGCTTGAGGTATCAAAGCATTTCTTTTGTTTTTCTTTTTGTTAGTCGCTACATTTATGCTGATCCTCTCCATTGCAACATGACATACCTGTTTATCAGGTTATTGAAGGATGATTTAAAAGAGTATACATATGCAGCACGCCTCTCAGGTTTGAGCTATGGCATTGCATCAGGAATGAATGCAATACTTGTAAGTAAAATGAAAACAAAAAAAAAAGGCACCACACCGCTTAAGCATTCTGTTGAGCTTGGAAAAGCTATTAACTTCTGCATTTTCAAGCAAGAAGATTGATGTTTTTTTCCTCACACCTATTTAATGATTGAAGAACTCAGACTAATATTAGTTTCACTAACGAATGATTTAGTAGAGTTGAATGCATCTTGTGAACATGTGTGTGCTACATTTATTTGCATGTTCCTCTGCTTGAAATGTTTAACATAGTAATCCTGAAAGCATGTTATTCTTTCCCTGTATTTGAATATATTACCATCTTTAAGTGAAAGGTAGCCATGGTTATTGTTGTTGTGCTTGAATTGTACTTATATATAAACATCCTTTATTTCTGCTAACAGTAGTAGAAAGATCCTGTGTTCAAATACATCTAACATTTTCATTTATTTTGTAGCATGCATCATTAACTGCTTTTAAATATGTTTTAAAATAAGCATTATTAAAAGCATCCCAAGAAATAACTAGATCCTTTCTCTTGAAACTGTTTCTGATAAGTTTCCAAACTTACATTTCTTTTCCAAATTAACATCACTCTTATGGCATACATTCAGCCTCACTCTTCTTGAAAATTTATTGGTAACAACTAAAATGAGAGCATGTGCTATATATTCTCTTTATAAATTCTTATACAAAATATTTTAGGGGTTTTTTTTTTATTGTTGATTTTGCAGTGACTTTTTTTCATTACACAAATACAGTTTTCTGGTAGCTTTTGTTTAATGTGTAAGACTGTACCTAACCTAACCATTCTTACAGTCCAGGGAAATTTGGTTCTCAGAGATCAAAATAAACCTCAAATGGAAAATACTAATCTGTTGTTTCATTTTTTGCTATTGAGTTTTAGTAGAGTATTACCATTAAATAAGTAATTTTTTTATTTGTGACAAAACGTGCTTTCTGCTAGTTGTTAGTTTAGTTCCCATGATATGTGATGTGCTTCCCATTTCCAGTGACCTTCAGTCCTGCTGAGGTACTTGCCTATCATTTTTTATAAGGTAGAGGCTTTCATAGGCATTCTAGTTGCACTGCATCCTCTACTGTTGTGGGTACCACCATGTGGAAATAAAATGATCAGCATCCCCCACTTCTCAAACATTATACTTTCAGAGACTGTTAGTGTAAATTGCCCTATGGTGAAATCTTGATGGTACAGACAGTGTATTCTCACTACATATCTGTTTTGCCACTGGCTTTTTGTACATCAACAGAATCATCAGGCAAGCAAATGGTGAGATATGATCCTTATTGGGCAACACTGAATGAGAAAAGTGGCAAAATGCCATATAATACAAAATTGGGGCTGTCTGATTTCTCCAAAGATGATTTGGGGTCATATCCAATAGTTTGCTAGATAATACTCCACTGTGATTTTTACCTTTTTAGCACACCTATGAAAACCTTAAGCCTGCCATTCTTTAGAAATTATTTTTGAATATTGAATTTAAAACATGGTCTGTCATTAATTTTGATTTAATAAGAATATGCATTTTGATATGGTGTGTGCTGCCATAGTTTGGCAGAACGTGAGTTTTCCTACTGTTGATTATGTTAGAAAAATAAAATCACGCTTTTCAGGTACTAGTAAATAAAGATGGTTGATGTTATCTTTCTTAAGTGTTAAACTATATTTATAAGAAGGTAAATTAATTCAATTTCTTATTTCATTTTTATTTCAGTACGCCTGGTTTTGGGATTTTCTAAATGTTTAAAAATCGAGCTTAAGGTACTTATTTAGAAATCATTCCATGTTATTTTAAACTTTTAATACCCTGTACTCTCTCTGTAGCTCTCTGTGAAAGGTTACAATGACAAGCAGCCAATTTTGCTAAAGAAGATTATTGAGAAAATGGCAGCCTTTGAGATTGATGAAAAAAGATTTGAAATTATTAAAGAGGCAGTAAGTTTTCTGAACTCATTTGTATAATTTTTTTTTATTCATAAGGTAATAACACCATGTTATGAACATTTTTGAAAAAGAGGAGAGGAGGGAAAGAAGCAGTCATAGCCCCATGGCGGTCATCTCACCCTGCTTTGCCAAATCCTGTCTTCTACCCAGAAAGCAAGCTTGGGAGACGGGGGGACACCTGGCCCCCTTCTCTGCAGGCCCTCAGAGCCAGGAGTTGCAGCACTGACTTCCAGAGAGAGGCTTCAAGTAGACTTCTAGAAGGTTCCAACCTCCTTCAGCAGAACACACAGTTGTCCAGGCTGAGGCCTGCCTATCATAAGACCTTGTCACATTAAAGCAGATTGTTTAGGCTTGATGTACCTTCCACATAAATTCACCTTGTAGTTGGCCTTAGCTATGAGTTGGAAAATCATTACTATGATTTTCCAGTAATGGAAAAATGGGATGCATAGCTACTTTAAGAGTCAAACTATGACCTTCATTGTACACCAAAGGAAATTACCATCAGTTTTCAAATGAATATCCAATATTTTATATATTTAAATATACATGTTGCTTGCTTGTAAACTTTTGAGATGACCTTATAGTTGTAGAATCAAATGCCAACAGATGGAGACCCTAAAAACTGGGGATAACTTTCTGAGGGATGAAAGATGTCCCATAGTGAAGGCACTGAGAGTACACGTCAGATGCTGGAGATAGAGCAGCAGCCTGGACAAAGAAAAAAGCATGCCCTTTAGTTAAAGCATCAGAGAGGAGTAAGCCCCATTCTGAATTACCTAACTTCAAGAGGAAAGAAGCAGAAATTCCCACATCCCAGTAATTTGAAAATGCATAATGATTTATACAAAATTAAGTTTGATTATAGTTGATGATTTTGAAATTATTTTAAAATGATTCATAAAATTAATAAACCCATGTCTCCCTCCATCAGTACATGCGATCTCTTAACAATTTCCGAGCTGAACAGCCTCACCAGCACGCTATGTACTACCTCCGTTTGCTGATGACTGAAGTGGCCTGGACTAAAGATGAACTAAAAGAAGCCCTGGATGGTGAGACTCTTTTTCTGTTTTTAACCCAATACTTCCTTCACTTTTTTCTAAAATCATTTTGGTATCTTTATGCTTTCTCATAACTGTAGCTCTGTTAAAGCCAGCTGTGTATACTTTTATATAAAAACAGTGGTGGCCTTTGAAGTAGCTTTTATATTCAGGTAGTGTAGCCACATTTGCTGTTCTCAGCCTGGCCCCACAGCAGGGAATTATTATTCTTCATAGATTTCTGCAGATGACTAAATATTTCAACCTAAAAACTTACGTTGTTGATATTGAAGTTTTCAGAAGAAGAAAAAGGGACTGAGCTTGAAAGTCTTACCAACAGAGAGTGCTCAGGCATCTTTAGATCTGTTCAGTTAAAAACTGAAAATGTGTAAAACCCCAAAAGTCATCTTTTGTTGCTTTTTTTTCTAAAATCTTAAATCTAGTTTTCAGATGTTTTGCTTGAAAGTTCTAAATTCCTTGAGGGGCAGTGGTTATGTCTTCCTTTCATCCTCTTTATTTAGAGTCTAATACAATGTCATTTCCTCTGTGTGTGTCTAAAGAATAATTTAAATGGAATGATAATCCAGGATTGTTAATATTGGAAAGAATATAGACTGATGATGTCACCCTTTATTATTGTTAATCTTGTTCATTTCTCAGCATTTCTTTACTAATTAATTTTTCTTCCTAATCTCAGCAATAAGAAAAAAAGAATACTGTTGAATTTTTAATGATCTTTTGTGAGAAGTCCTTACTTTACTATGTAACTCTAATGTTCTAGATGTCTTCAGTGACAAATCAAGAACAAAGTATAGAAAGTCATTATTTTCTCAGATGCCTGAGGCATTGGGTAGGAGTACAGATTATAAAATCCATTAACTAGAACAGATGTATTTTTTTAAAATTTTATTATCATTAATCTACAATTACATGAAGAACATTATGTTTACTAGGCTCCCGCCTTCACCAAGTCCCCCCCACAAACCCCATTACAGTCACTGTCCATCAGCGTAGTAAGATGCTGTAGAATCACTACTTGTCTTCTCTGTGTTGCACAGCTCTCCCCATGCCGCCTCCCCCACCCCCACATTATACATGCTAATAGTAAGGCCCCCTTTCTTTTTCCCCACCCTTGTCCCTCCCTTCCCACCCATCCTCCCCAGTCCCTTTTCCCTTTGTTAACTGTTAGTCCATTCTTGGCTGCTATTTTGTTTCTTTAGTTTTTTTCTTTGTTCTTACACTCCACATATGAGTGAAATCATTTGGTATTTGTCTTTCTCTGCCTGGCTTATTTCACTGAGCATAATACCCACTAGCTCCATCCATGTTGTTGCAGATGGTACAATTTGTTTTCTTCTTATGCATGAATAATATTCCATTGTGTATATGTACCACATCTTCTTTATCCATTCATCTACTGATGGACACTTAGGTTGCTTCCATTTCTTGGCTATTGTAAATAGTGCTGCGATAAACATAGGGGTGCATCTGTCTTTTTCAAACTGGGCCGCTGCATTCTTAGGGTAAATTCCTAAAAGTGGAATTCCTGGGTCAAATGGTATGTCTATCTTGAGCTTTTTGAGGAACCTCCATACTGCTTTCCACAATGGTTGAACTAATTTACATTCCCACCAGCAGTGTAGGAGGGTTTCCCTTTCTCCACAACCTCACCAATATTTGTTGTTGTTTGTCTTTTGGATGGTGGCAATCCTTACTGGTGTGAGGTGATATCTCATTGTGGTTTTAATTTGCACTTCTCTGATGACTAGCGATGTGGAGCATCTTTTCATATGTCTGTTGGCCATCTGAATTTCTTCTTTGGAGAACTGTCTGTTCATCTCCTCTGCCCATTTTTTAATTGGATTATTTGCTTTTTGTTTGTTGAGCATGAGCTCCTTATATATTTTGGATGTCAAGCCTTTATCAGATCTGTCATTTATGAAAATATTCTCCCATACTGTAGGGTACCTTTTTGTTCTAGTGATAGTGTCCTTTGCTGTACAGAAACTTTTCAGCTTGATATAGTCCCACTTGTTCATTTTTGCTTTTGTTTTCCTTGCCCGGGGGGATATGTTCATGAAAAAGTCGCTAATGTTCACATCCAAGAAATTTTTCCCTTTGTTTTTTTCTAAGAGTTTTATGGTTTCATGACTTACATTCAAGTCTTTGATCCATTTTGAATTTACTTTTGTGTTATGTGGTTAGACAGTGATGCAGTTTCATTCTCTTACATGTAGCTGTACAGTTCTGACAGCACCATCTGTTGAAGAATCTGTCATTTCCCCATTGTATGTCCATGGCTCCTTTATCAAATATTAATTGACCATATATGTTTGGGTTACTGTCTGGAGTCTCTAATCTGTTCCACTGGTCTGTGGCTCTGTTCTTGTGCC